TATAGATTTGTAGAAATGCGTTACTTTAAGATATAGGAACAGTTAAAAGGAGGCCTGCCACGGCCATACAGTTTGTAAGCAATATAAGTCTCTGTGTTTGCTTGGTTGGGTCTGAGCGGCTGTGGGACTGGCGGGTGACAGAGATTTGTCCTGACTGTGGGCAAGGCAGGAAAACTCTAGCTACACCACCATATATAGCTGCCATGGTGACATGGGGACCTTCCTCATGAAGGCCAGGGCTCTGTCCTTCAGTGAGTGGGATGGCTCCAATCCATGGTAAGAATCATGTTTCTTTTCTTCTACTTCTGTTTCTGATATATCGTGTGTGTGTGTGTGTGTGTGTGTGTGTGTGTGTGTGTGTGTGTGTGTGAGAGAGAGAGAGAGAGAGAGAGAGAGAGAGAGAGAGAGAATTCTCTGTTAGTTTTCCTAAAGACAAGGTGACCCACTCACCTCAGCAGGCTCAGAACTTCCTTGATTTTAGTATCAAGAGTTCTATATCCAGGAAAAAGAGACATGGCTAGTCCCCTGCCCTAAAAACATCCTCTTCTACAAGCTATGAGCACAAATCTGCAAGCCAGGTCCCCTGGCCACCACTCTGCCCTTACTGCTCCTGACAGTCACCATGACTACCAGCTTCTGAGAGGTAATCTCACACCTGTCCCCATTGTTATTGCCAATGCCACCTACTGCCAAATCTGGTCTACAGAGGCTCAAGCCACCACCATGAGCTCTATTCATGTGTTGGAAACTTCTTTCACTGTAGGGGAAGTGGCAGACAGCCAGGGCCCTGCGGTGGGATCAGCAGGGGTGGACTCCAGCCTGCCATTGTGCCCTCTTCCCTGAATCTGTGGTTCCTTCCTCTGACATCTGCCATGGTAATGTTGCCATTTCTGCTTCCCATGATGTGGGCCTTATTTTCCAAGCTCCCATAGGGGCAGCATGTTAGCCTCCTCTCCAGAGCCCACCACCCAAAGAGGAGGTGTCATGTCAGTGAGTTCTGCCTTATAGGGCCCTCACCCCTTCTCCCACTCCCAACCTGCCAGGCACCCACTCCTAGCCCTCACCTACATTCACGGGGCATCTCTCACCTGTCCTCGCCAACCTCTTCCCTCCGCTTAGGACCCAGTAAGGTCCTGGCTGCCCAGTGTAGGCATGATCCTAGCTTTCAGCTGTGTCCAGGATGGGAACTGGGGATGGGAGCTGAGGAGGCAGCATGAGCTTCCTGCAAGGCAGAACCTATCTGCAGAACTGTCTTCAAGCAAGGGCAGAACACCAGTCTTGGAGAGCAGAGAACAGGTTACTCAGTAGACCAGGGGCTAATGAATCTGATTTCCAAATGTTCAAGTCACTGACCCAGACCCTTCCATCCCAGGTTCTGGCATCCGTCTCCATTTCAACATGGCTGGCTTAGCCAACTCATCTGCAAAAGCCTATCTATGGAGCTTCGCCTGGAGCCTTAGCCTCAGTGTCTACCCCCACCCTTACTGCAGAATGGAAACTCCCAGCGAAGGCTGGAAAGCCCCTCAACTTTCACACTCAGCCTTAAACTGCTAATTACTCAAGCAGGACATTTTATTGTTTGTTTCTGAAAGTCCATGGGTGGCATTCCGCAAGGGCCATACAGTGCCATTGTCCTTACAACTATGAATTTGCTGCCGTTTTCTGCTTCCTGCCCTGTTTCCCTCCAGCCCCGTTTCTCCACAGATAAGGATCGTCACAGTGGCCCCAAGCATTGCCACTTCTAACCAGTTCACAGCCTCCCCACATCACCAATGAGCACATCTTCAGTGCTTCTGAGTTGCCCGCAATCCCACACGGATTCTTCTCCCGCAGACTACTCCAAATTCTGGTCATGTTGGGCCAGTTTCTCTAAGACTGCTATGGGGCCTAGCCTGCAAGAAGTTTACTGGAGAGTGGCGTGGGATGTGTACTCACGGAGAGTGAAGTGTGGGGCTGATGGAGGGGGAGGCTGCTGCCAGTGGTTGAAGCCGATACACCAGTCATGCCCGTGGGGCTATAGGCAGGCAAGGGCTACTCAGGAACATAATCTAGCTCCTGCAGAGTTGGGAAGAGACAAAACTCTTGAAGGACTTCCTGAGATGAACTCAGCCCCAGGCAGAACACCCACTGAGTTCAATCCTCCTGGTCCTGAAGTGTTTGGGGGAGGTCCCTAGCAAGCACCACACAGGCCATGAGAAGAGCAGAGGGATGGGGACCCCAGAGAGCCCAGGGACCCACTGCTGGGCTGAAAGTGCTGCATGACAGTCCTGTGCTCTAGAAGACTTGTCCTCTGAGACTCCATGAAGGTGGCTATGAGAAAATAAGCATTGCTTTTAGCAAGGTGGATCTTGGAGTGTGGGTGGGGTCAAAGAAGAAAAATGTACCTTCTGTGTACTCATGACCAGCAAAAAAATCAGGCCATGCAATAGAGTGCCACATCGGAAAGAGACAGAATCCAGCCATCCTTCAGAATGTCCCCTTCCCAGCTGAACCCTGTAGTCTCTGGGGACAGTTCCTACGGCACACAGCCGAGAGCCGCCTTGAAGGAGCTTGGCTCTTAAACTGCCACAGTCTCGTATTTGCTGTGGTCCATTGCATTTCAAGGTTCCTAGGGTAACACTAGCGGCTCTGAAGATGGGAGCCCCAGGGTGGGTGGATTGACTGCCTGAGCATGGAGCCGGGGAGTCCACGGTTGACGTGCGCCTACCCCAAGCCTTCCTGCTGTCACAGTGTGCCCCTCCAGCTGGAACGCACATCCACTGACTCTCTGCCCAAATGGGTGCTCATCCCTCTGTGTGTGTATACAGACATGCACACACGCTCTTCCCAACACAAATATATATTTAAGATTTACTGTTCTGGAAAACCTAGTGAATAATGTAAATGATGAAAGCCTGCGTCTGGCAGAAACTAGCGTGCGGGCAGCTTCATTGAGATTCAGCCCCTGGTGCAGGCTTGGTAATACACACGCCGTATGAATTATGGATTCTGAGCTTTATCTCTCCTACTACACATGAATGTTTGATAACGATTGCTGCCAATATTATATTTTGTCAAGATGCTCATCTAAAATTCAGTTAAAAATGCTTTCCGGTAATTATGCACCGACTTTACAAGGAGGAGAAGAGGGGATGCAGACAGTGTCCTAGGTGGGGTCGCTGCTGGCCATGTGTTCCCTCACGGAGGGTGTTTCTGCCAGAGGAGAGAGGAAGCCCTGGTGGGTCCCACTTCCCCTGCTGTCTGTCCTTCCTCCTTCATGTCCCCATTAAAGGAGGTGTTAGGGTAAGGTACCCCTCGGCCAACCAGGCTCTCTGGAATTCAGACATTCCTTGGGTATTTTCAAACTCAGCTTTGGCTCACTGGTACCAACACCCGAGCATTACCACTTCCAGCTGGACTCCTGTGTCAGGCATCCTTGAAGATCCCACACTTAACAGATCTTTCTCACAGCTGAGAGGGCAGGAAGCACACGGGGTTCGGAGTTCTGGTCCCGCAGCTACATCAGACATTGCTAACAGATCACGCCACTCTGCGCTATCCACCTCAGAATCCTTATGAATACACATATGCTCTGGGTAACTGCTGTCAACAAAACAAAGATGACTTACAGCTTTTCAGACTTTTCTTAAGTTCAGGGTAGAGCTCTACCTCTGGAGAAGGACACTTGCTTCATCCTGACTGACCCCTGCCACAGCCTCTTCCAGTTTCAGTCCCAGCTGTCTCAGGCTCTCCAACTCCTCTAGTCCCATCTACATCTTTTCTTCTACTTTTCCATCTGTCTGGAATGTTCTGGAGTTGTGAACAAAATGATGCCGCCTACCAAGGACGCAGATGCCCTGTGTGTGCATGCTGGGCCCTAGCACAAAGAACCTTAGCTGTGCTCACAGGTGTCACTGGCCTGAGGAGACACTAGAGTAGAACACGGGCATCCACAGATACTGAGGTGGGTCCCTATGACTCACACCAGGGACGGTCACTGTGCACTCGTTTGCTACACGTTTAGAAGGAAGTGAGGATGGCAGGTGTCCAGCTGGTCCCAAGGTCTCCTCTACCATACTTCTTTCCTCTCTATGGGTCAGCAGCAATCTGGAGCCCCGTCCTCCTCACCCTGCCCCCTCCCCATCCTCTCCACTGCCACCTCCCAGAAGCTGTCCCAGGGAAGTCCCTAGCACCACGGTCCATGACATCCTTCCACTTCTCTGCGATGCCAGCAGCCCCACCACCCTACACTGCAGGCTGATGTGGGATGTCTTTCTGTACACTGTGAATATGTATTGCTACCACTGGTTAATAAATAAAGCTGCTTTAGCCTATGGTGAGGCAGGATAGAGTTAGGCAGGAAATCCAAGCAGAGATGCAGGAAGAAGAAGGGCAGAGTCAGAGGCAGGCGGCATCCAACCACCCAAGAAACAAGATACCAGCAGACCAGTAACGCCATGGCCACGTAGCAAAATATAGATGAATAGAAATGGGTTCATTTAAGTTGTAAGAGCTAATTAGTAATAAGCCTGAGCATTAGGCCAAGTATTTGTAAGTAATTTTAAGCTTCTGAGCAGTTATTTTATAAGCAGCTGAAGACTGGGCAGAACACAGAAAAGCCTCTGGCTACATTTGCCACCCAATGTGGGGCAGGAATTTCCACTTAAGACCTGAGAAAGCATCAAAAAGGGGGTTCTAGAACACATAAACAGATCCAAAAAAAGCTTCCTAATTGTGTCTCTCATGCAGGCCCAGGTACGGAGAGCTGTGGCATTTGGACTTGAGTACAGAATGGCGAATTCCTGCTGGTCATGGTACACAGAGGCAAAAAGTACAGGGAGCTGTGTGGTGGATTTAGCTTTTACTCATACAAACAAAAAAGGTTTGTGGGCCAGCCACATCCTGCCTGGTGGCAGCATGGACCTCAGAATTGGGGGGGGGGGGGATAAACATGACTCTCCTGGGTACCTCCCCTCCGCTGTGTTGGGAAGCCAAACAGGGAGGAGCCAGTAGCCAAAGCTTCCACTTGGGTCCTAGGCATGACTGCTTAGCAATTTAGAGCAACAATCAGAAAAGGATTACAGATAGACAATAAAGATAGATTCAGACCAAAAACAAAAAACAAAAAACAAAAAAAAAACTCTAAATAGGTCACAATATGTTTAAAAAATGTACATAGGCTTGAGAGAGAGAGGAAAATGAATATAGACAGTTATAGAAAGAGTTTTAAAAATAAAGTCTTCAAAAAAGACAGTAGAAATAATGTAAAAAATAAGCAGCATAAAGATGGAAAATACACAAAGAGTCTGCATTACATATATTATTGTGTTTTCTTTGAATTTTTTGACTGTTAATGAGCTAACTGCAGAGAGAAATTTGATTGTGGGGTTTGCTAAGTTAAAGCAACATATATATTTTAAAGGTATCTTGACTTCGAAATTTGGGTCTAAGGCTATGCAGCTTTGGAAAAGAGCTTCTATTTTTGTTCCACAGAAGACGAGAACCTGTGGATTGCTTCCAGGTTTATATGGTTTGATCGGGCAAGACCCCCTGAAAGGTCTTCAGTGGGAACGATGGCCCAGGTGACCCAATATCCACAGCAGCTTCAAGGCTACTGGCTGAGATGGACCAACCACACAAAATACCCAGTCAGGACTTGACCATAACTCTACATTTTCTCAGGATCCCTCTAAGATTAACAGCACCCCCAATCAGTAGAAAACTACACCCAAATTCCCCAAATATTGTTTATAAATGTTGGTTTTCATTTAAGAGGGTTGGTTATAAATGGTTAATGCTCATAATCAATCTCTTTCTAAAGAAAAAAGGGGGATATGATATATAAATGATTTTTAAAAGGTAGATTATTGAATCTGCTTTAATCCAAAAACACAAATGTCAATCACAAAATACTTTACATTGGTATGAATTTTGGTTTAGTGATACAAATTTAAGGTCAATTTTGTTATACTATATGTATATTTCTACTCTTGTTTATGCAGCTTGTTTAAAAATGTAATGTATAGTTAAGAAATACAAATTAATAGTCATCTATAACAGTCAAACTTACAGTCATATTAGTTAAGTTTTCTAGGTATGCAGAGATATATGTCAGCAGAAGGATGGGTCCTGTTTTCATACCCATTGTGTTAGATTCTGTCTTTTTATAGGCAAGTGGAATCCATTGATACTGAGGGATACTAATGACCAGTGATTATTAATTCCTGTTATTTTTGGTTTTTCTAGTGATGGTGGTAGTGTGTGTATATTTCCCTTCTTTGGGATTTGCTGGTGTGAGGTTATCTATTGGCTGTGTTTTTGTGGGTGCAGTTAACTTCCTTGGGTTGGCGTTTTCCTTCTAGTACTTTCTGTAGGGCTGGATTTGTGGATAGGTATTGTTTAAATCTGGTTTTTTCGTGGACTATCTTGTTTTCTCCATCTATGGTGGTTGAAAGTTTTGCTGGGTATAGTAGTCAGGGCTGGTATCCATCGTCTCTTAAGTGTCTGCAGAGCTTCTGGCTTTCAGAGTCTCCATTGAGAAGTTGGGTGTAATTCTGATAGGTCTGCATCTATATTTCACTTGGCTTTTTTCCTTTGAAGCTCTTAATAGTCTTTCTATATTCTATATGTTTAGTGTTTTGATTATTATGTCGTGAGTGGACTTTTTTTATTTCAGTCTATTTGGTGTTCGATAACTTCTTGTATCTTCATAGGCATTTTCTTCTTTAGGTTGGAAAAGTTTTTGTCTATGATTTTGTTGAACATATTTTTTGTGCCTTTGAACTGGCATTCTTCTCCTTCTTCTATTCCTGTTATTCTTAGGTTTGGTCTTATCATGGTGTCCCAGATTTCCTGGATGTTTTATGTTAAGAATTTGTTGTGTTTAATATTTTCTTTGACCAATGAATCTATTTCCTCTATCATATCTTCAATGTCTGAGATTCTCTCTTCCATCTCTTGTATTCTATTGGTTATGCTTGCACCTGAAGTTCCTGTTCATTTACCCAGATTTTCCATTTCCAGAATTCTCTCAGTTTGTATTTTCTTTATTGTCTCTATTTCATTTTCAAGTCTTGAATTGTTTCCTTTACCTGTTTGATTGTTTTTTCTTGGCTTTCTTTAAGGGATTTATTGATTTCTTCTTTTTTGTCTTTTCCTCCATTTCTTTAAGGGAATTTTTCATTTCCTCTTTAAGGGCCTCTATCATCTTCATAAAGTTATTTTTAAGGTCATTTTCATCTGTTTCATCTGTGTTGGGATATTCAGGTCTTGCTGTTGTCAAACCACTAGGTTCTGGTGGTGCCGTATTGCTCTTTGTGTTGTTGAATGTATTTTTAAACTGCCATCTACCCATCTCTCCCTCCAATCGGTACAGGTGGGGCCTGTAAGGCTTCAGGGGATGCTTGGGGTCAGGGGAGAGGATGCTATAGCCCAGTCGCTAGGGGCTCTTCCTCCAAGCAGTGTAGGTGGGGCCTGTGGCTCTCGTGGTCACTGATGTGGGGGCGGGGGGGCATGGTTGACAGGGGGATGCTGCTGCTGCCAGGTTGCTGGAACTGAGGTGGGTGGGTGGAGGCCCAGGATGTGCCCTTAGAGGCTAGGACCTAGAGAGCAAGGCTGTCCAGTTGGGCACTCAGACACTCACCTCTTCTGCCAATCAGGCACAGGCGGGGATTTTGGCTCCAGTGGTTGCTGATGCAGTGGAGGATAGTTCTTTATTTCAGAAGGATAGGTCATCTTCAAATACTTCAAAGACCTACAGAATATGGCATTTAAAATGTTTTAAAAACTTAGACTTTTGCATGGTGATACAAGCCTTTAATCCCAGCACTAGGGAAGCAGAGGCAGGCGGATCTCTATGAGTTTGAGGCCATCCTGGGCTACAGAGTGAGTTCCAGGAAAGGCGCTAAAGCTACACAGGGAAAACCTGTATCGGGGGAAAAAAAACTTAGACTTTTCTCAACAGTGAGACACATCTGCTCCTTTGTTTATTAAATAAAGCTGCTTTGGCCTATGGCAAGGCAGGATAGAGTTAGGCAAGAAATCCAAGCAGAGATGCAGGGAGAAGAAGGGCAGAGTCAGGGATAGAAGCCATCCAGGCACCTAAGGAACAAGATGCCAGCAGACCAGTAACACCGCGGCCACATGGCAAAATATAGATGAATCGAAATGGGTTAATTTAAGTTGTAAGATCTAGTTAGTAATAAGCCTAATCAATAAGCCAAGCATTTGTAAGTAATATTAAGCCTCTGAGTGATTATTTTATAAGTGGTTTCGGGGCCGAGCAGAATGCCAGAAAAGCCTCCAGCTACAGCAAGACACCATTATCTGTCATCAAGGGACCTGTAAGAGTCTCCCAACGTCTTATTTTTCCCCACCTCTTCCAATTCAGTCTCCGTGGATCTCCAGACTGATCTTTCCAAACCCATTTTGCTCATCTTGTTCATGCAAAGAACGCTTTGCTGAATTGCCAGTTCAAGAGAAGAACTGCAGCTTGATACTTAATGCTCTGTGGCTTGACGCTGTGTGGCTGTGCTCAGAAGCCTGGGCCCTTGGGATCCTGGGAGAGACACTGAGGAGATACAGACAAGGTCAAATGAGAGCATAGCCACACACAGGTCAACAGGATCAGAAGACCCAGGCCAGCTGTGGGCTCCTACTGTCTGCAGCCTTGTCCAACACCAGAGCCTGAGCTCTGCCCTCAGGCTCAGGGGTTAGCTGGGCACTCTTTTCTCCACAGCTCTCTACTTGTGGGTTTCCCAGCAGGGAGCCAGGCTCAAAACAGTTGTTCTTTGACTGGGGTGAAGTGGAATCTTGATGTGTCTTTGATTTGCACTTTTCTGATAGCTAGTAAGCATGATGAACATTTTTTCATATGAAGTTCATTGACCTTCCTTTCACCTTTAGCTCAGTGACCTCAGCAATCATTGAGAAAACAAGTAACAGGTGCTGGAGATGATGTGAATAAAAGGGAACCCACATACAATACCAATAGTGATGTAAACTAGTCCAGCCACTATTGCCAGTATAGAGCTTTTTCAGAACACTAAAAACAGACCAGTGATATGACCTCACTATGGTACTTCTGGCCATGTACCCAAAGGACTCCAGGTCAACATATCACTGAGGTCCTTGCGTGTAAATGTCTGCCACAGCCCTCTGAGTACTGGCTAAGTTATAGAACCAGCACAGGTATCCCACAAGGGAGGAAGCAAGAAAGTAAATGTGCCTTATATGCACAATGGAAGTCTTTTCCTCTGTACAGAGTGAAACTGTGTCATCTGTGAGACAATTCATTCATATTCAGTGAATTAAACCAATCTCAGAAAAGCAAACAGCATGTGCTTTCTTTCCCTTCTAAGTCCTAGAATTCCTAGATTCCCTATAGATACAGAAACATCCATGGCAAAGGTGTCACTGTCCAAGCAGAACTGTTTAGAGAGGAAAGGGGGACTTGGTGTACGTGGGGAGGAACCAGAAAGGGAGTTTAGGGGCGTGTCCTCCAATTTATCATGTGCTTACATGAAAATGGCCTTATGAAACACAATATAACCCAATTAATTTTTTTAAGTTGTTAAAAAAAACAACAACAGGTGTTTTCCAATTATGTGTTGGATCTCATGATGACTGGGAAAGGCCAAGGCCCCAGGGACTCCGTTAGGATGTTGAGCTACAGCCCTAGCTAGGCTCCCTGTGGAGCTGGATGAGAGGACACAGCCTCGGACTTTGGCTATTCAAGGGCCAACAACTCTCAGCCCCAGGGCTGGCTGCTCACTCTTCCATTGCCTTCAAGTGCCTAGGGAGAACTGCACTGTGAGAACCGCAGCCCCAACCCCAGTTCCTGTGGGGTGGGTTCAGAGCAGAGTGCTGACAGAGTCCATCCCTTGAGGCTCGCCCATCAGTGTGCCCTGTGTTCTGCATGAAGCTGCAGCCTCTCCCCTTCCCTTCCACTGACACTGTCCTGCCAAGGTGGAGGAAAACCACAGGGCTCACCGCTCCACGTTCTCGCATTCTCAGACAAGTGCCAGGAGAGACAGGCCAGGCTGGCATGGGGACTCAGTGGGGTGCCGCCAGCGAAGTCAGGCTTGACAGAGGCGCCTGCTGAGGGGCAGGTGTGGGTGGGTTATGAAGGATACAAAGCAGGAGGAAGGGAGGCGACCGAGTGGAGAGGAAGGCACTTCGGGCATCGAGAGATGCATGTCCCAAAGCCTTGGGGTAGTGAAACACACAGGGGGTTCAACAGGCCAGAGCTGAGGGCCCGATGAGAGAGGCCTGTGTGCTGTCATCTGAGGTCTAGACAGACCCCACGGGTTTCAGGCGGACAGTGGGCACTCAGGTCTCAGAAGGAATCCAGGCCAGAACTGGGTCTTTGTGCCTACCTGTCTGCATTTTTCTTGTCTCCAAGATGGTTCTTACCTCCTCCTCTCCTCCCCAACTCACTGTCATTGCCCTAAGGGGAGGGGTGGTGACCCGCCACCCATTGAATCCCTACAGCCTGGGTCTCGCCTGACCAACAAGGGTAAGCGGAAGTGAAGCTGGCAGAGGAAGGCAGGTGGCCCACCTTCTAGGTATACCAGCTCTCCAGAGAGCTAACGACCATGGGTGATTGGTTCTAAACCTCCTCACCAAGAAGACCAAGGTGAGCAGAAGCTCAAGCCTTTACAAGGAACCTTCCTGGAGGCCAAGGAATGTCAAGCAGAGCATTTGACAAGGCAGGCCAAGCAATAACCCCTGTGCATGAAGAGCCATCTTGGATGCCCCAGCCCAGCAGACCTCCCAGGGCCTCCACAAGCTGATTTGCTATTGCTGCCTCTAAGAAGCATGAGGTGAAGAAGGGAGCATCCTACCATACCCCAACACAATTCCTGACCCAAGGGGTCATGAACTTTTCAAAAATGACTGAGGATTTTTGCTCCATGTTTCAGTGTGGTCTGTTACAACATAGCATTGGAAAGCTATACCAGTAGGGACATATTTCAGCTATTACTCACAGAAAAACTCACCCACAGTCATTGGAACAAATAGCAGCCACTTTCTTGCACAGCAAAGAAAGATGGCCACTCGTGGCATCGAGGCCACTGTGTTGACCACTTTCTTCCAGGTGACCAGAAGGCCGCTGCTGCTCCAGATGCCACGTTCTAAATCCTAGCAGCAAGTTAGAGAGAGAAGAAAAGGCTTTCCCAGCCACACAAAGCCTCCTTTATATTGGGAGGGCCTCAGTTTCCCAAGAACCACCAGCATCAGACTCAGGTTTGTTTAGTTCTTTAAGACTTGGGACATATGGCCAATTCCCAGATATCAATGGGACTCAGAGAATATAATGAGTGTGGCTTATACAATAATCTACCTGGGTTAGCTGGATTTCCGTCACCGGCCAAATGCCTAAGGAAAACAACATAAAAAGAAGAAAGGTTTGTTTGGCTCACCATCCCAGAGGTGTCAGTGTGGGCACTTGGCCCAGCTGCTCTTAGGGTGGCGGCATGGAGGAAGTTACCAGAGGCAGAACTGAGGTGGCGGAGGTTGCCTTAGCTGCAGCAGGCATGCGAGTGTTGGGGGTGGCATGTAAACGCAGGCATCATGAGTGCGTTTGGATGGACAACAGCTTTCTAGGGTGGAGCCGCACGTTCAAGGAATGAAACAGATAAACACTGGCTAAGCTAATCGTGAAAGAAAGGACTCAAATGGACATAATTAGGAGAGAGAATGGGGAAATAACCACGTATGGAGGAAAGGGAGAGAATTATAATAGAAAACACAGCTCAGATCTTTGCAAATAAATGAAAACAAATGGATGAAGTGGGTGATTTTCGAAGAAAACATCAATGATGACAATGAACCCCATTTCCCAGGGCCAAAAAAGAGAGTGTTGTCCAAAAGCCACTAAGCCTGCTCCCCACCAAGAGACTCCACTAAGGGAACTCGGTGCTCCCAAATGCCATGGAAGAGTGAGAACCCAAGCCTAGAACTCCAGCAAAATTAGTAAAGACAAAACCCCAAAATTGTAAGACAAGCAGAGATGGTAGCAGAGGTGGCCCTCGACTTGTGACGGGGTCATGTCCTCAGACAACCAACGTGATAGTTTATAATCACCTGGGGAGTCTCAATGACAGATTGTCTAGACTCAATCATTGGCCTGTGGGCACGTCTTGCAGGGCTTGTCTTGATTGCTTTATGTGGGAAGATCCTGCCTGAAAGTGGGTAGCGCCATTACCTGGCTTCAGGCCCTGAACTGTGCAAAGTTGAACACTGAGCGTGCATGCATCCACTCGCCACTCCTGACTGTGGGTCAGATGGGCTCCGCTGTTGTAAGTCCCTGTTACCTTGATTTCCCCGCTACGATGGACCATAACCTGAACCATCAATCAAAATCGATCCTTTCTCCCCGAATTGTTCGTAGTCAGGGCATTTCCCCACAGCAACAGAAAAGAAACTAGAGCCGCCATCGGAAGGGGAAAATATCAGAGCAGGAAGCTGGTTTGGGGACACTGACCCACTTCCTATCTCAGCTTAACCCAGGAGCACGATGCAAGCTGTCAGCTGGTTCTCTGCCCACTCTACAGCTGGCTGGGCCAGGGGCTCAGCCCTGGAAAGGGGCAAATATGAGAGAGAACGATGTACTGTGTATCCATCAGGTAGAGAAAGACACATGCTAGATACATAGTATCACTTTCACAGCATTGGATCATCTGAAGTCCAGCCGTGAATAGCTGGAGACTGTGTGCCGTCATTAAAGCAATGGCATGCAAACATCCTAAGGAAAACATGAGCAAGTAGAACGCACACATATGCATTTGAAAGGGGTAACATGCCACTGCCGTGGGGGCTTATTCTGGTAATTCAAGATGCTTCTCATGAGTCAACTCATATAATTCATCATACTAACGAAAACCATACCATTTTCCACACATGCCAACAGATCAGTTGATTAAAAATCTTGATTTAAACTTTTAATAAAATAGACTACTCTGGTAAAGATATGTATTTTATAACTCAAGCCAAAACTTAGAATCATTTGTTTGCTGTTTATTTACTTATTCACTCATTTGTTTTCTAACAGTCTTGTTATGTAGACTAGGCTAGCCTTGAACTCCCAATCCTGCTGCCTCAAGCTCCTAAGTACTGATATTACAGGCCAGCACCATCACACCTGGCTCCCAGAATCATTTCTAATAGAAAACCTATGAAATCCTTCCCAGGGGTATCAGGAACAAGCATAAAGACTTTGGAGCTTGCATCATTGTGCAAGCCTTGGCAGAATATCATTCCCCTGATGAGGAGCATGGGCACGTGACTTGTCAGAGCAGGTAAAAAGTAGGGGAAAGTGACGGGGAGATAAGTCTGAGCCTAGGATGTAAGAAGATTCACGGCCTTTCCCAGCCTCTCTCATCTCCATCATCACTACGAGAACAAGCCAGTAGACATTTGCTCACAGGGCCAAAGAGGCTGAGAAACATGGGGGGCGGGGGAGAACTGAACCCTCCTGAGGCAAGCCTGGTCAAATCAGGCCTGGATGAGCCACCCCTCAGGATTCCTCTGACCTTGGAAGCACACCAGTGTAATTATGTAAGAGAA